AATTCATCTGTGCAAATTTACTATTTTATCTCCCCCCCCCCCGATCAGAAAGGGGGAGGAGCAGATCATAATCAGCGGTGGCTTTGCACATTTCATTACCGCCGGTTTGCCATATGTGCGCAAAACGTGCGTGCCTTCCACGCATGCGCCCAGCTTCCACACATGCGCTTTGCTCGCACGCGTGCCTTCCACGCAGGCACCCAGCCTCAAAAACATGCCTAGACAGGATGGCATAGAGCCAGAGTGGGCGGACGGGCCCACCTGCGATTTCCGCTACTGGTTCGGGCGAATTGATCCGAACCTGCTGAATCTCACCTCTGATCCTATTGGCGAATTATAACTTTCAAAGTGGATTCAAACCACAGACCAACCTAGACGGAAATTCAAACCCACCCTACCCCCATCCTGAGCTGCAAACATATAAATATTTACTGCGATGCAAACCACAGCTCGTTTCCCGCGGATACAAAGAGGACCTCTTCACACCCATCCTGATTATGCTGGCTTTAAACAACAGCTCCCATCATTTGCATTTGAAGTCATTTCAGATTCAGAAGCAAAGTTTGCAACCTTCCATGCCAGACGCATTCAAGACTTATCCCATTCAACATTTGCTTTTGTGGGTTACCTCTCAGAACGGTCAGTTTGGCATTGACCGTGATCTCCGCCACCGAATTCTGGGCAACACATTCATAAATGTTTTCGTCTCGGGGCGTCCGGAGAGGTTGTATCCTCAAGACCGCTCCGGCACCTTCGTCAAATTCAATGGTCTGGATCGGAGAGAGAGAGAGAGAGAGAGAGCAAGGAAGGAAATTAATTCCATTCAATTAATTAAAGAGGAGATCCGTCTATCCCTCTTTTCACACTCGGCCATTGTCCTGTGTGTGTGTGTGTGTGTGTGTGTGTGTGTAAAAGTTACAGACCAACTTCCCAGAGCTGTGCGTATGTGTGTCTATTTATCCATTTCTCTTTGCATACAGCTTGTTTCCAAGGAATGTGTGTAAGTATGCATTAAAAAAATCCACAATCTTTGAAAAAGATCAGCTTTCCAGAATGTGTGTGTGTGTGTATGTGTGTGTTTGTGTGAGTATGTGTGTGTGCATGCACATGTGAATGCACACACGCATGCATGAATAAAAGCCACCACAATCCTTGCAACGGATCAGCTTCTTAGGAACGTCTGTATTGTGTGTAAAAATCACCACAATCTTTGCAACAGACCAATTTCCCAGAGCTGTGGGTATGTGTTTCTATTTATCCATCCTTCTTTGCGTAGAGCTAATTTCCAAAGAATGTGTGTAAGGGCGTAAAAAAATCAACAATCTTTACAACGGGTTGTGTGTGTATAAAAACCAACACAATCTTTGCAACAGGCCAACTTCCCGGAGCTGTGTGTCTGGAAAGCTGGGTTCACTTCAGGAGCACAGCATAAAACTTAAAATGAAATTGCGCTCCGTCACTTGCTGACTCACTTAAGGACCACGTTGCTTAGCGATGGAGATTCTGGTCTCCATTGTGGTCATACGTCGAGGAATATTGTAGTCTTTGCATCCAGCCCAACTTCATGAATGTGGGTTTGATGAGGGAGAGATTTAGTTGATGGAAACCAGGGTTGGTAAAACTAAAATTCCGCTGAGCCAGAAGCCGTGTTCAGCTGTGAAAATGGACTAGCTTCCCTGATCTCTCTCTTTCTTTGGAAATTCTTCCAGGATCTCCCTCTGGCTTTCTTGTGGGGGCAGACGGGGACAATTAACCAGTGGAACGTCTTGCCACCTGATGTTGTGGGTCCTCCATCACTGGAGGTTATTAAAAAGAGACTGGAGATAGGAGGAGCCAATGTCACGACAACACAACGTGCGGTCTCGAAAGTCCGAGACCGCCGTTAACACTTTTGCCACTGGACGGTCCAGCAGGACCTAAACCATCCCGGAGAGATGGTGATCAGGAAGACAAAGCCTTGCTGGTCTCAGGGACACCGCAAAGTCCCTGATTGACCCAAGGGAAGCACTTCAAGCTGAGGGCAAACAGGCAAGAAGAGACTGGGCACAGTCGGGGGGGGGGGAATCCTTGTGCAACCTCCGTCCCCCATTTTGGGCCTGGAAGGTCTCCTGCACCAACCTGAAATCCAAAACAGGGTAGGGGGCGGGGGCGGGTGATGCACGCACAGCAGACACCCAAAAGACTAGCTGGTCAGCGGGAGGCATGCGTCCATGCTGGGGGGCGGGCGACAGAGCGCAGGAGGGGTCACGTGCAAATGCATGGGGGCTGTGTCCCCGTGTCGCCTGTGCGGTCACATGTGCACTGCGTTGCGCGCACGCACTTTCAGCATGCGACAACAAAAAGGTTAGCCATCATCGGTGTGGGGTCTCTTGTTTTGAGCAGGGGGTTGGACTAGAAGACCTCCAAGGCCCCTTCCAACTCTGTGATTTTGTTGTCTTACCTCAAACCGCTGTGAGTTTACTTTCTTTCCCTTCTTGTTCCAGGTGACGCGGGGTTTGGGGTCCCCCATCGCTTGGCACACGAAGGACGCCACGCCTCCCGACACCCCAATCTGGTCCACGGGGTGCTTGATGAACTGTGGTGGGCCTGTGGGGGGAGGAGGGAGAGAAACACAAACAAAACAGAGACTTTAGATAAGTTGAGGGATTGGTTTAGCAGAGTCCCCTCCACGCCTTTTATTTATTATCCATTTATTAGGGTTATGTGGTTCTAAAAAGGTTCCACAGACCCGTTTGCAGTCTGATTCAGGCTGGGATCCTGAAGGCACAGATAAACCCCCAGGTGGCCTCAATGACTCTCAGAAAGAGTACTAACGACCAGAGGACTACAAAGAATATAAATCCTTCCACCCCCCCACCATTCAGTCAGAACTGAAGAAGCTTCTTATTCCAGGAAAAATGAAGAAATTCCATTCATACTGATGGGTACTGATGAAAAAGTCATTAAAAACCTTTATGGACACTTACTAGAGGTTAGGTTAGAAGAAGAACAAGTTAAAGGAACTATGATAGCTTGGGGGAGGGGGGAATTTTGGGCATGGGATTGAATTAGAGATGTGGCAGAAATTGTGGTCCCAAAATTACAAAATGACAATGTCAACAGCATATAAAGAAAATTTGTATAAGATATAATACAATACAATAGCAGAGTTGGAAGGGACCTTGGAGGTCTTCTAGTCCAACCCCCTGCCTAGGCAGGAAACCCTATACTGTTTCAGACAA